CATACGCCTAAATCCCTGAAAAAGTACTGGTACATATAGAAGAAAGGAGGGTCAGAGGGACCCCCCATATAGACGCGCTCACCAGGCTGGCACGGTTCCAGTCGGATAAGCTTGGAAAGAGAGGATTCACAGATCCTATGCGATTTCCACATCGCATTGATCTCCATATATAAACGACCTGAAGATGCTCTGAAATTCCCCCACGTCACTCCTAACTCAGTCGTAGCCAGGAATGCCAGGGAGGGGTTCCTTACCGGGGAGGGGTTCCGCAGGCTGGCCCTCCCCTCTCTTCTTTTTGGCGGCGACCGTCCCGGCAGCCACCGCCTTGCCATGTGCCTTACCCTTGCCTTTGGCAGGCGCATAGGGGGCAACATCCTTGTTACCAGCCATCAAGAAAATCAAAAGATTTGAAAAGAAGGAGAAAAGATTTCAGAAGAGGGAGAAGATTGAAAGATAGAAGTACCTGGTACTCCTCTAACAAACGAAAAGACAGAAATGAGAGGAGGGAAACTCGGTTGCCAGAGAAGGCGACGGAGGAAAACGAAGATGGCAGAAGCAGGAAGGCAAAGAAAATCGGCGTGCTTAAGAAGCCAGAGAGGAAAAAGAATGCAAAGAGTAAAGTGGCAGGAGAAGAGGCGCGAGAGCGAGAAAAGGGGTTCTCCAAAATTCAAACGGTCACAACACGTGTCAGCCAAGGGACAAAACTGGCGACACATTTAATGAGCCCCATTATGACGAGCACAAGTCATCATTGCGTAACCGTCACTTCCCACTAACGCGCCGCCCACGCGTTATGGGAACGAGGTGACAGTTTCGACACATGGCAGTATGGCAAGGAAGCGTACGCGAAGAGTCACAACTCTCCTCCAAGCTCGGCATTAACTCCTCGACCCACGGTCTTTAGAGCTCGAGGGGCTAGTGTACTATCCGTACCGCGAAGCCGAGCTCCAGCTCGGCATCACAGCATAGAACGACCTCGGACACGTGCTAGGAAACCTCGGCTAGACGAGGTCCGTTACCTAAATAGGTCATAACTGATATCAGGCCCAAGGCCCAACGAAACCCTAATTCATACTAAGGTACGTGCATTACTTATACGAGACTCATACACCCACAAACACTAACTTTAGCATCGGAGTCTCTTTTGCAGGTACCACCCCATCTTGGAACATCAAACGTACCAGTGAAGGAGACTCGCCGATCTTACCTAACAAATCGTCCCCTACGACCGATCTCCGATAAGAACAATTCTCAATTGATTACTGCACAAATAGGGGGAGTATACCAAGCAAAGGAACATCAAATGCAAAGGTATTATCATTTAGCTTTTCAATTGATTTCTAATTTTGAAGATTTCAAAATTAACTACTAGTCCGTCGTCGAATAATCATAATATTAACTCGAGTCATTAAGGTTCAGATTAAACTCGGCTTTATAAGCTCGAATTATGATAACTGAATTTAGTAAATGGTCGAACATTAATCACATAAAGAGATCAAGTATTCCTATTTATATAATGGTATTCGATATCTTTGCTTAATAAAATACTCGAAAAAATGGTTGTAGTGAGAATAAAATAATGAGAACAGATATGAAAAAAGGAGGTAACTATTTTGCTTTATATAGTTAATCTTATCATTCAAGAAAATTAACTTAATATCTTTAGAATCTCTTTTATAAGTAGTAAGTTTGATAAAAACAATTTTTTTTTTTAAAAGTACCAAACAGGATATAAATTGCAATCAAATTAGTTTATAAAATATATTTATAGTATTTCGTCAAACATTGAACTATGAATCTACATTACTTTAAAATAGATTTTTTTTCTATCTACCTTCACCATTTGTATTTCATTAATTGTAAAAGACTTTTTATACTTATTGCCTTAAAATATTTATAAAAATAAAAAAATAAAAAAAAGCATCAGAGAATTCTACACTTTTGATAAAAAAAACAATATATTTTTTTTTTTTGAAACTACCAAAGAGGGTATACATTGCAAACAAATTAGTTTATAAAATATATTTATAGTATTTCGTCAAACATTGAACTATGAATCTACAATTACTTTTAAATAGATTCTTTTTCTTCTATCTACCTTCATCATTTGTATTTCATTAATTGTACACATATATATATATATATATATATATATATATATATATATATTCGTAACTTTTTTCTAAATTAAAAGAGATATAAAAGGAAAATATAATAAAAATATATTACAAAAATAAAATAAGTCTAATTTTGAACATATATTATGTATTAGTAAAGCTCTTGCACAAAGAATTGGATTCAATACATGATTGCTGAGATGAAGCCACATGGACAGTGCAGATGATGTGGCATCACAATAGATGTCCACGTAGATGAGTGTATGTCTTTTTCGAGAAATAATTCGTCACTTGGCCTCACTAGGAATGGTAACGGGGCGGGTCTGGTACAGGTTTTATGATACTCGTCTCCGTTCTCGCGAGTTAAACTCATCCCCGTTTCCCGTTCCCGTACCCGTCAGGTATGTGATTTTCATTCTCATCCCCGTCCCCGTCGGGTATTGGGTATACTCGTACTCGTACTCGTACCCGTTAATTTTTTTATTTTTTATTTTTTGTAAAAAATGATATTTTAAAATTATTTTTTTATTTATTATAATTATAATTAAGTTATTTCTCTGTCTCATATTATAATAAATAATCACACATAAAAAAATATTAAACTTTTTTAATATAATTAAATTGAAAGTGGATATTAAATTAAACATAGAAACAAGAACAGATACGGATATGGGTACGGAGCGGGTAAGTACATACCCGTACCCGTACCCATACCCAATTTAATATATCAATTTTTACTCGTACTTATATTCGTACTCAATTAAATCAAGTATTTTCTATCAAAGTCGGGATAAATTCGGATATTACCCGCAAGTATGAGTATATTTACCATCTCTAGGGCTCACCCTATAACTATATGCCACTTTACAAAAGTAAACCTCAAACTTTTATGAGCCATTAATAGCAGAATGTAGAGGTGCAATTCATTAATAACGTGATACTTACATCCTCTTGTGTCACTTTTAAATTAATTATTATTTTTCGTAATTTTAGGTAATTTTCATCATACGTATTACTTTAAAAATATTAATAATTATATTATTTTAAGAGCCATAAAATATGATATAATTGATAGATATATTTGTCTCTCGTGTGTGGTCAAATAATTCGATATATCTTTAGTGGATGTGAACGAATACTTATTTAAAAAGTACTCTTAAATAAATCTCCGTATATAAAAAATTAGTCGTTGGCTGTCTTTTAGTCAAAAGATATTTTATTCAATTAAAATAACATGTTTATTAACTCAAATAAAAAAGTATTACTAAGGTAAATTCTCTTTTTTGACAATAGGAATCGAACAGTGTTGAGGGTTACCAACCACTTACAACATTGCTTGTTGAGCTAAATTTCTTGATAAAAAATAAATAATACATGCAAATTAATTTGTATAATTTCTTAAGACTACAAGAAATTAAATTTTATGTAAAATTATATAATATAACAGTTATATTAGGCCAAATATACGTCATATGAACAAAAATTTTACAAGTTTACATAAACAAACAATGGAAAAGATCAATTCTCACATTAGATAAGATAAAATCAGAAAACAACAAATATATTATTGTGTTATATTTAAAAAAAATCATTTATTTAAAATTAAATGATGATATATTTGTTGTTGAATGATTTAAAGTTTTAAACTACCTAATTCTGTTATTCACGGGAAAAGACACTACTAACATTTTTCAATTCATTCTCATCATTAAATGCTTAAAATTTTTTTTACACCAATGCTTAAACTTTTTTATTCCAGCCTTTTCATTTAATTTTCTTCCACATTCTATGAACCAAACAATAAGCTCCAATAGAAAGATAGCTTATGGTCAACAACAACATCATCATCAAGATTCCCCAAAAGTGAAGTTTTTTTTTTCTGATTTTCTTTTGTCAGTATTGTTCTTTCATACACGACAGTAAAATTTATTTATAAAATAGTTTTTTACAATAATCTCTATACAAATAAGAAATATAAAAAAAAAAATTGAGTTATACGTATAATCATCGTAAAACTTTCTTATACAGACATTCGATAAAAATAAAAAATAAATAAAAAAAATTAAACACAACACGTCATAATAGAACCAGTAGATTGAGTACAATAGCGAGAGGTTATACACAATCTTATTGTCGTCATCATCATAATCTTTTTAGTTCATTAAAACAAAAACGCATCATGATAATGAATCCGTAGACAAATATATTAATTAAATTAATCTGATTCGATGTTTGTATATAAGTCTTGCAGATATAATAAAACATATGATATAACAAAGAGTTAAAGACATAAAAATATGAAACCTTATCGTATGCATAACATTACTACGTAAAGACACATACCCATGAGATTTCTCGAGTTTGATTGACAACTCAAGCTTGAGCAGCATCTATATCGAACCACTACGAAGCAGAGCAACACATATTTGTGCCAAAACAGGGAAAATTGTGACCATTTTTCATACTTCACATTCTGAAGATGATATTGATAATAGATAGTAACATAATACACAGCAAGCAAGCAAACAAACATTGTAGAATAAAAGACTGAAAATCAAACAAAGAGAACCGTGCCAAAACCCCTCAACAAAAAACTACAAAGGGCTTAACACAAAGCCAAATTAAGAAGAAGAAAAAAATGAAAGAAAACAGTAGTAATTATAAGTTACACTATAAATAAAGAATAGAATAAGTAATAACAAGAACAAAATTTAAGCAAAGTATTTTATGACATTTTGAGGTTGATCTTTAATCAAATTTGAGTTTCACCGATCACTTAAATGCAACTCAATTTAATTAATTAAAAATCGACACCAAATCACTTTTTTTTTTGACATGGACATAGATTAAGTAATATTTCAAAATTGATATCGAAAAACTAACTTGAACTTGTAAATTGTGACTTTCTTATTTAACATCGACAAGAAGTGAATTATAATTTTAATACTCATTTTAATCGATTAAGAGTACGACATCCACGTCCATGCCCCACGTCTTAATACTCCACTTGAATTTTGTCAAATCACAAAAAGCATCCCAAAAAAAGGAGAGAAAAAGAAGCCAAGAAAGAAATCTTAGTAGTCCCACAGAAAACTCTCAAAACTAGTCGCAACCCCACTCTCGGTCACAGCAAACTCATTTTCATCACAGTTTGCAGTTTGCAGCCAGGGCGTCAACGGTGGCTGATACATCCACGTGTCCTGCGAGTCCACGAACACGAACTCGTTCCCCAGCTCGTAACTCGTTTCCAGCCTGGGCAACTCGATGATCTCGCTCAGCTCCTCCGACGCGGTGGACAAGTCCGCGGCGGAAACAAGAGACGACAATGACGATGAAGACGAGGAAATGAACGAGGAGGAGGAGGACGAGGAGGAGGAGGAGAAGTCCATGTGCGCGGCTCTGGTCGCCGCAGCTTGCACGTCGCGAGGGGCGAGCGACGCGGGACGAGGAAGCGAGGACGCGAGTTCGGGGAAGTTGAGGATGGCGCCGCTCCCCTTTATGCTGAGAGCTGCCACGTCATGCGCTCTCGCCGCCATTTCCGGCGTGGGAAACGTGCCCAACCATATACGCGACTTCTTCCGCGGCTCCCGGATTTCCGACACCCACTTCCCCCAGTTCCGCATGCGCACCCCGCGGTACACTGGGTGCTTGTTGGAGTCGCGGTTCCGCTTCTCCGTCTTATGTTCTCCGCCTTTCGGCTGTGACAACAATGATAATGATGATGACAATAAAGATGAGTTGGTCTCAGTCTCAGAGTTGCTCTGAGCTGAAACTCTCATCTTAAATTGCGGTTGCGGTTGTAGTTTTGGTAATAGAAATACAATACCCTAGTTTGGTACTATGGTTGAAATGTTTAGAGGTGGAACCAAGGAAGCTATCAAGGTTGATATGATCAAATGAATGCTAGTTTGAATTTATTAAAAGAAGTGTTTATATGTGATATTTATTTAAACTGAGAATGAAACAAGATTGGTTTGGTTTGGAAGAAAGATACTTGAGTAGAGAGAAAAAATGAGGAAGTAATTTTATGTGGAGTTTGGAAGGAGGAATAGCAAAGCATGCAAGTGATGGAAGGGATGAACCATGCTTTTTAATTTTTAGAGTCACTTCTGAATGAGTCATATAACACTTATAAAGTTTGATAGAGGGCCCACAAGGGAAATGGGTCGCTCTGCTTACCCCGGTGGGTACAAATTCACGATGGGTCACCCTTTCTATGTGCCACGCAAATTTGCTTTTGGTTTTGCTCTGTGGGAGGGCACTGTGCCCTTCACTTCAACCTAATCTTTTATTTAACCGCTTTCACTCACGTTGCACTGTTCATTTATCTCTTATCCGTGTATTCGTTCAAGATCACTCAGCTTTTCAGCCCAATTATACACACCACTTACCCTGCTGCATTGCAAGTATCTCCGATTTGCCCTTTTTCCTGTTGCGATCTAGCATTTTGTGTTTATGGTATGGTGTGTGTAGCTTATTCCTTTCGTCTTGGTAGCAATATTGGTTGGTAGAGTTATAGAGGTAAGTAGTGACGTAACGTGATCCCACTAGTTAATAATATAATTAGGCTATCATTAATGCGCTTTTTCTATTGCCACCATGCTGCGTAAAGTCTTCCTTGTGACTCTTTCGATTACGTGTTAAGGGTACTAAAAGCCCTATATATGTCATTGTGAAGAATTTTGATAGAAAGCTCTAAATTCTTCGGCCCCAACTTCAACTCAAACTTGATTAAACTAACTATCGATCCATATTATCATGTGCTATAGTTCTCAGGTTCTAATACTTTTCTTTTTATGGATCCATAATCACCCTCAAATTATATTATACACCATGGCCATCTTAGGATATCGGTTTAATTTGGTATTTTTAAGATCGATTTCCGTCAATATAAAAATAAGAAAATTTTTAAGGTACCTAACAGTATTTGAGGGATTTCTGTAAAATCAATTAAATTTATGTTTTGCGATCAATTTGAATCATGTTATCATTTTTTACATTTTAATACTAAAATTATTATATTTTTAATTTAGCACGTAATTAATTAAATTCTTACTTTTAATTTTGAGGAGGAGATATCGGCACAAAATGAACAAATGGTGTGAAGTAATTCTATCCTTACACTCACATCCTTTGCATCCATACACACCATGGACCTCTCATAGGGTGAAAAAAAAATTTCCAATGGCATTGATCACTTAGGTAACTGATTGTTGAGTCTACAATGCACCAATACAATTGGGATACTATGAACCAAGATCATTGTCACAATCGACAAGCAAAATTAGAGAAGTAAGAGACGACCTCATAGTTGGTTATACCTCAAACGATGTTGTTATAGTGATCATTAAACTCAAAAAAACTTACGTTTTCTTTGATGATAGAGGAGGAACACCCCACTGTAGAAGTACATGAGGCAACTTCGAATGATGAAAGACAATATCGTTAAAAGACCACTACAAGAAAAATTTCAATTACCGATGGATATAATCTGTCAGAAAAATAATATTTCTGACGGATTTTACCGACAGAAAAAAAAATTTGTAAGAAAAGTTATATTACTGATGGATAAATTCTAACGAATACAAATTTTTCAAAAAATTTATATTTTCAACGGATATGTAACGCAGTTAGTAGACTAGAACGGGGCATTCCAAATTTGGAACGGGCCGTTCCAAACTACTAAAACAAGGATGATTTAGTAGCCTAGAACGGGTCGTTCCCAAACTGGAACGGGTCATTCCAGACTACTAAATAAGCCTATATATCCCAAACTAGAACGGGTCGTTCCAAACATGGTTGTTGTGAGTTAAATTCAATTCTAGAACAGGGCATTCTAGTTTGGGAACGGGCCGTTCTAGATGTGCCAAAACAAGCCGTTCTGCATGTGATTTTTACACATGACGAAGGAGCCCAGAACGAGCCGTTCTGGATTCGAAACGGGCCGTTCTGGCCACTCCTGACCTCTATAAATAGGCGTTGAGGAGGGAGAGAAGGGAAACTTAGAGAGAGGTTTTAGAGAGAAGTTTTAGAGAGAAGGACTCTAGGCTAGGAAGCTTGATTTTGAAGGATTGAAGTTTCGGAGTCGAGCTCGGAGGAAAGTTTTCTTATTCCCAAATTTTTTGGATGTTCGGAGCCAATCTTCAGGTTAGGGAAGCTTCATGCATTGTTTTCCTTGAAATGGTTGAGTTGTTTGGGGCGGATTGGGTTTAAATGTTGGGGTTTGTTGTTTGGAAGGAAAAGAGATGATTGATTTAAATTAGTGGTTGCATGTAGTTGTTCTTGTGTTTTAGAAGTTGTTTATATAACGTGGTTAAGTTGCTAAGTTTCCTGATGAAGATGAGTTAAGTAGTTGTTGACTGAAGCTGTTTATATGTTGCTTGTTGATAATGTGTGATATGTTGTTAAAGTTAGTATATGTTGTGTATTTGGTGAAATTAAGTTGTTTTTATGTTGAATTATTAATAAGTTGAGATGTATAAGTTGAAGTAGTTCATTGTTGTAAAGTTGATATTGTGTTGACTATAGTTGCTCTAGTTGTTTAATTAAGTAGTATAAAGATGCATATTGCTGTAAAGTTGAAAGTTGCCTTTTGATATCTATTGTTGTAAAGTTGTTATGATGCCTATTGTTGTAAAGTTGTTATGATGCCTATAGTTGTAAAGTTGTTATGATGCCTATAGTTATAAAGTTGTCTATTGTCGTAAAGTTGTAAAGCTGCCTATTGTTGTAAAGTTGAAAAGTTGGAGACATATGGTGAAGATATATGTCCTATGTTGAGATATATAGTACTAAGGAGATAAGTTGAAAGTTGTTTTAAAGTTGAACCCCTTAGTACTGTGTGGGCGACATGGAAGTAGTCGATCCATGTCATGGTTGAATGACCAATTTGAGTAAGGTATCTAGTTAGAGATGTAGTCTTTGACTAGGTACTAGAGGGTGCGTGGTACTTGGAGGACAGTGGGTGGGCTAACTCCATATGTGGATTGGTGATGCTAGCCAAGGCCGTGGTAGGCTCATACCCAATCCCTTCTATCTTGACAATAGTACTAGACCTCCGAGTCTAAGTGGAACACCCGAGTAATCGCCTATTGTTGTCTATACCTGGTTCTCTTCGGAGTTCCTAACGATGCCCTATACCTGACCTGGTTGAGATAGGTCAAACGTTAGATTCGATATGGTTTATGCCACCTAGACTGCTCGACCTCAGTTGTTGGAGATCTCCTAGTTGTATCTGCGTGATGACGCATTAGTTGATGTTGCATGGGTTGTTGCATTCAAGTTGTATATAATGTTGTGGGACTGAGTTGATAGTTGAGCTATTGTGATAAATACTATGTGATTGTGTTGTGATGAGTTGTTGATCACTAGGACTGTAGGAGAAGTTTTCAAACTTGTTCATCCCATTGTGCGGATTGAAATAGTTGTGGTGCTTGAGAGCCCAATTTATTTAAAAACCCTCCTTGGAAAGTTGTCCCTTGGAGTGGATGATTTGTTGTTCTCCTCTAGGACTTGGTTGGTCCCGTGTGTGGGCAAGGTCGAGGCACACGTGTATGAAGCGACCACGGATAAGGGTTAGGTCGAGCTATACCAATTACAAACGGCCAATTTGAATAAAGTACGATGTGTTGAAAATGTTGTTGCTATTAGATGATATTGTATCTCTATTGTTGTAGATGTCGTGTTGCTTTAAGTTGCAAGTTGAAAGTAGAATTCTATTGTTGTTTATTATATGTTGATGCTAATTTTTTTATGATTATTGTTGTGAGCTTACCCTAGCATGTTTTCCCTTGTGGTTGGGACTGTGATGACCATACTTTAGTATGCGAGCAGATCAGGATTTGGTGCTCTGCTGGACTGGGTGAGCTTCTTTTTGGTTGGGACTCAAGAGAAGGGTTGACGTTGTATTTAGTTGATTGGTAGCATTTGACTACCTAGTTGTTGTATAGGGTATTATTCCCTACTTTTAGTTATATATATTATGAGACTTTTTTGTTGTGTATTCTCAATATATATATAATTGTTTAGTAGTGAGATTTTATTTTATACTTGTATCTGAATGCTATGGACAGTGTGAGACGTAGCGGGTCGTTACAGGATATATTCGTGGGTAATTTTTGTCAGATACAAATCTGTCAGAAAATTTATATTTTCGACGGATAATTTTTTACGGATACAAATCTGTTGGAAAAATATTATTTTCGATGGATATATCCGTGATAATTTCTTATGAATATATTTGTCGCTAATTTTTGACGGATTTATGCGTTGGTAATTTTTTACAGATATAAATCTGTCAGAAAATTTATATTTTTGAAAGAAAAAAATTCGTAGGAAAAGGTACAGTATTGATGAAATATTTTCGACAAATTTATATTTATTGAAAATGTAAAAAAATTTGACGAAAATTGACAATCATATATTAAAAAAGAACAATAAAATTTTAAATATCTATATCTATATATATATAGAGAGAGAGAGAGAGTGAGAGAGATAGTGAGAGAGAGAGACGGAGAAAGAGGAGGAGGAGGAATCAAATGACTCACAAAGTAATTCTTGGTAAAGTTACTCCGCTCAATAACTCATGGTGTTTGTTGAATTTCATTGATTCAATTGTTAAATTAAAAGTTAATAAATTTTACTAATAATTAATATAGAAAAAATTGATTAGCTTTGGAATAAATTATTTCTAACAATATAGTTAAAAAATTAATTATTTTAAATTATTTAACTAGAATCTTATTGACAATTTAATATGTGATTTTGATATTTTTGTATTACTAATATCTTATTTTAAATTTGATATGAAAATATTATGATATAAATAGATAAGATTTTAAATTAGTATTTTATTAATGGTTAATAATTAGAAAATAAAACAAGGATAAATATATTTTTTGAATTTATATCTTAGATTTAAGATAAATAAATATATTAAGTTAATTAATAATTTGTTTAAAATTTTAAAATTTAATTTATAAGTATGTAATAAATAAATATTTATAATTTTATAAATTATATTATCATTTTAAATTTATAAAAATAATATTTTTAAATATATAAATTATTATTTAAACTTTTAAGTTTATAATAAATAATTTAAATTGTATCATAATATTAATTTTAAATAGAAATAATTATAAGTAGATTGTTAATTATAAAAGTAAGTATATATATAAATAAAGATTAATTAAATATAATATAATTATTATTATTGGTAATAATTATTATATATTACTATATTTTTATAACAGTTCGGACACACCGAAATGAGAGGGATCTAGAGATAGTACAAGAGTATGAAATTGTATAGTTGAGGATGACTTAAATGAAATAATTTGTACTACCTATACTAACAACATGCATCTACTTTTCGGTAGCTTATCTCATCAGAACTCCACAGTTAAACGTATTTGACTTAGAGTAATATAGGGATGAGTGACCTTAGGATGTTTTCCAAAAATTTTGAAAGTAAGGACAAAACACATTGAAAAGTGAAGTGTCGTGAAATAGAACCATTAAGAGCCCAAATATGAGGGGTGTGGAATCACATAAAGATTTTCAAACAATTTCTAACGGATATAAATTACCGACGGATATATCCATCAGAAATTACCGATGGATATATCTGTCGAAAATTTCTGACAAATAATTATCGATGGATTCAATTGTTTCAAATAGATTTTGTTTCCTGACTCCCTTTTTTCTGTCCGAAATTCGTCAAAAATTCTCTATTTCCGACAGATATTCCTTTTTACTGACGGACTATATCCGTCGAAAATTTACATTTTTCTTGTAGTGGATGTTCTTCCAAGCTTAACAAGAGAATTCGCACACCTTTTACCTTCTTTGAATGAATGCACAAGTCGGATGCTTTAATCTCTTTCTGCACACTCCAATCTCCTTGTACTGTGAAGAAATGTAGGGTTTCAACATATAACACCCTTTGATCTTAAAACTTCACCCCCGATCTCCGTCCGCTTTAATCTTCTTCCACTGTGAGGAATTGTAGGGTTTTAACATACAACACCCTTTGATTGAAAAATCATAACCTCTACAAATTCAAGAATTTTAAACTGATAATTATTTTTTATTTTAAAAAATAATAAAATAGGAGTTAAAGATAAATAATATAAAAAATAAAATAAAAAATAAAATTTATTTAAAAAGATAATGTGATTTTGTTAATTAATTAACGTGTATTTATTTTATTGGTACACGTCAGAGAAGCTATCAAAAGGATTAAATTTTTTAAAGGTATCAAAGCAACTTCCTTAAAATATTTGATCACTAGTAGTCACATTTTATGAGTGCATATTAGTCCTTAGTTATCATATTTAAAATATTGCATGGATCATGTCTATAGAGAAAAAAAAAGAGTATTATGTACCACAAATGACGTGCACTTGAGCCCTACAGGTTTCCCTCTCGAGTACCCTCCTCGGCTAAGGATGTACCTAGGCCGAGCACTACGACACGCGCCGATGCCGAGCACTCCTCGGCCGACCACTCAAACGACGTGCACTCGAGCCCCACAGGTTTCCCTCCCGAGTACCCTCCTTGACTAAGGCTGTACCTGGGCCGAGCACTATGACACGCCCCGACGCCGATCAAACCTAGGCCGACCACTCAAATGACGCGCACTCCGGCCCGACAGGTTTCCCTCCCGAGTACCCTCCTAGGCTAAGGATGTACCTAGGCCAAGTAATGCAACTCGCATCCCTCCGTCCAAGGACGCACCTAGACTGAATGCTACACCATCACGTGACCTAACATTCCGAGGCCGAGCATGCTTAAGCCGAACACTCTCAAACCGAGCACTCTCGCGCGCTCCAACATACTTTGCGTATCAAGTCGCGTGACCTAACATTCTGAGGCCGAGCACGCTTAGGCCGAACACTCTCAAGCCGAGCACTCGTGCAAGCTCCAACATACTTCGCATAACAAGTTGCGTGACCCAACATTCCGAGGCTGAGCACGCTTAGGCCGAGCACTCTCAAGCTGAGCACTCTCGCGTTATCAAACACACCAAGCATCAATTATATACCAACTCGCGAACTTTAACTCCCCCCCCCTCGGCCGAACATGCAGATCGATTATTTTTACATTACTAGACATTAATGAATATGGAAAAAAACTGGAAAGCAAAATAACATTTCGTTAAAAGTATGACCGATTAGTACGACTACTTACACAAAAAATCATCATCTTTGTCCACCGACACCAATGGCCGATTACAAAAAAGCACTAATGGCCCGGTTACAAGAAATCAAACAAAAAATCCCAACCCTAACCTACTACTACCACCAGAGCCGACATCCTATACTATGGCCTAGTCCTCTGGGTTCCCATCGCCGACCACATCAATGATCGGTTCCTCCTCCCTGGCCGACGGCGCTGCGGTCTGAGTTGAAATGCCTCGGCGAGGGGCCTCTTCGTTAGGCTGGGCCCCTTGTGGGAACTCGGCGTAGCTTATAAACTTGCAACCGTAGAAATCTCGACTAACATCAAAATTAAAGTTAGTCGGGACCTCACAGAAGTAGAAAGCCTGTCGAATAGCATGTTGGAAGCCGGCATCATGCTGATCAAGAATCTTCTCGGTGGCTTCGGCCTTGAACTTGGCAGCGGCCTCGTTCACCCGAGCAATCTCCCCGGCGGCAGTGGCGGCCTCGGCCTTCATTTTCTGCACCGTCAACTTTAAGTCGTCGGCCTCCCATCTATGGGCGTCGGCTGCCCTCTTCAACTCCTCGGCCGACTCGGTAGCTTTGGCATTGGCACTTAAGACCTCCTTCAACATCGCATCGGCCTCCTTAAGCCGCCCCTGGAGCCTTTCCTTCGAGACAGCGGACCTCATCATCACGTGCTTGGTAATTAGAGAGGTCCGAGCATCAAGCTCACAGAAAAGCTTGTACTCGGCCCCTGCCGACATCCCTTCCAAATACTGAAGCCCGCCACCCGAAGTGAGGTCTAGGCTAACAAGGTTCTCGGTCTGGACACTTGGCACGAGGAAGTTCGACCCGGCCACGACTGCCGGGATGGCAAAAGCACCACAACCCGACTGCTCCAAAGTCGGTTGCTTTTGGCGCTTGGTGGATGAGCTCGGGCGGTCCGATTCCACGTTTTGATCGGCTGGGCGCATCCGAGCTGTCCCAGTCTTCTTTTTGGCGTCAGGCAGAGGAACTAGGACATTTGAGGGCTTCTCCCTCAGAATCTTTAGCGCCGACCTAGCCGGCGGCACTTTCCCGCTTGCTCGCGTAGCTTTTGCTCGGTTGGCAAGCATAGCAGTCACATCTAAGTCGTGGCCGGCCATTAATCCTGCAACAAAACAAGTCTTAACATCAATTCAAAACACTGTTACATTACCGAAGCCAAGAAACATACCTAACGAAGTAAGCTCAAAATTTGAAGAATCAAATATGTCTAGGAGTCCTCGGATAGGCAACCCCTTCAGTAATTGGTCGAGCAGATCCACGACCTCTCGGTCCTCGGCAGGGAGCTTCGACACGTCCATCGCTTCAAAACGCGCCGGATGCTTCATCCAGTAGAAGGGGAACAACTTAGACCCTTCTCGGTCATAGAAGCAATTGTCCATATCTGGCCCTTAACGGATTTTGAAAAACCCACTCTTAAAACCTTTATATGACGATGTAAACGCCCTCAAGAACCCCCGCTTCGGCACCCGAGCTAATGAAACCCACTTAACCGGTTTGCTCGGACGGCAGATATTGTAATACAGAAACGCGAGTGGTCGGGGCATAAGGCCTAGACAGAGGCATAGGTTCCGGAACGCTTGCATGGCCGCCCAAGCGTTCGAATGCAGCTGGTTCGGCGCCACGTTCAGCACTCGGAGCACCCCCATTTGAAAATCGTCAAAGGGCTGCTTTATGCCGAGATCCTGAAACCAGCACATGTAGGCATAGATGTAATCTTCTCCTGCCGACCCCGGTCCCAAAAACACGAAATCGGTGTCCGGTCCATCATCGTCACATGCCTCAGCGACCAAAGGCAACTCATCCTCCCCACTGCCGAAGCACTTTTCCAAGGTTACAAACTTGTCAAGTAACCCTTGGTCGGAGAACAACGAGAAGTAGATGTCGACCTCCCCGTCCACCCACTCGTACCAAGGCATCTCAACCGTGCCATAATCAATCTTCACCTTCGCTTGAGTGCTCGGACCACCAACAACCTTGCCTCGGGCATTGTCGAGTACCTCCAAATCGTCCCTACTCGCGTCGGCGTGCACGGCCTCCTCGGTCGCTCGTGCCGAAGCCACGACTAAGGTCACCGAGGGCGACACCTCTACCACCTCGTCTCCACTATCCTCCTACTCGGAAAAATCCGAGGGGAAAACCACCTCGCACTGCAAAGAAGGAAGTCTTGACACTTCACTTGAACCCGACCCCTCTTTCTCTGGCGAAGCATCCGACGTCGCCGACGACGTCCAGCTCGTAGCCGAGGAGTAACCTTTATCCATTTATTACCAGAAAATAAAGAATACAAAATTTTACCTTTGATCGGTAAGCTCGGACAATTTTGAATTCGAGAGCTCTCGGGAAATTTACAGCGAGTAAATTCCCACACCCCCTATTTATAGGCAAGGCAAATGGGGGAGGTGAAAAGACGCCCCGAAACCGCAACCGTTCGATCTATAGACCATCCAACGGTCCAGATTAAATAGTCGTTGGGCTTTTAACCGCTAGGGCCAGCGTGGCAGGTTACACCACTGAGGTCTCGGCATAGGCCCCACCCAGAGGACGAGCACATAGTCATCGGATAGTCACCCAAGGCCTCGGCACATACGACCCCCATCCTGCCGAGGACATCATCTCTTAGTGATCGTCCAAAGGCAACACGCCATGAGGGGTCTCGGCAAGTTTCAACCAATCCGATGCTCCACACGGGGGTTACTTCCCGAGCATCCGACCCGACCGACCCAAGCTCAGATAAACCGCGACCACAGCACACCCATAGCGGCTAAGGCCGACCATACCTTGCCGAGATCCGAAACCGTACTAGATCCCTAGAGGTCGGCAGCGCCGTATTCACATTTAGGCCGAGAACACCCAATAGTTGAACTAAAAAAAAGAGTATTATGTACCACAAAATTTTTCCTCTTAGCATTTAAGGCACTAAATAGTTGAACTCAAGATTTCTGGTTAAACTAAAATAATCTTTCACCAATTGATCTACTAGTTTTGTGATAGATTCTAATACATTCAAGTTTGGTTGTTAAGCAATTATTTAAACTAATTATAAATAATTCATTTGTTGAGCAATGCTTGTTCTATATAATTATGAAGTCGACATAGTGTTCTTAGATTTTATTCTTGTTTATGTTAAAATAAAGTTTAATTAGCAAAAATTACTTTTAACAAATACAAATTATTTTTTAGCTGTCAATTTTGAAACATTATATAAATCATAACTATACAAAAATAAATAAATAAATAAATAAATAAGTATCTACCACCTATTAATTAATAGATGAATTAATTGAACTAGGTATATACTCTTTATGCAATGAAGCAAGGCATGTGAGTGCCTTTAAAACAAGATAGTAAGAGCCAGCAATGTTTAGGTTTTTGGACCCTTCTTTGATATCTTCCCTTCAGCTATACATTATTTTCCATTCCTAGTAGGTGCAATCATCTCTTTGTTTGTTTTCTCTTCAATTCCAGGGGCGCGAGTATCTAGACAAATTAGTGTGCTAGCTACATGTATCACAATCCTCCATGTAGTGATTGTCCAAATTTGATAATCTGGTAGTAGTAGTAGTTGAAATGTGGAATTGATGAAATCAATATTAACACCCCCACAATCCCAGGCACCAAACAGGAGTCACACCCTGCAAATGGGTCCCAACTCCGGAGCATTGCTACGTTTGTGTTGCACGTATGGTACACCATAGGTGGTTCCAATTGTGCACTTGTTGCCACGTGCCGAAATGTGAACACCCATTTAATTCTAATAAATGGACTAACCCCAGACATCAAAGAGTCCATTTTTTCAATGGACCCTTTCCCTATTATTAGGACTCGACACATTACGCTCCCCCCAAAAATGAAAATTGACACATTGCAAATTACAAATCTATGTAAATTTTGGTGCCAATTATTGCATAATGATTCAAGCAGATAACGAAGAAAGTTAAGATACTCAATTGAAGGGACATAGCGTTAATTACGACACGGAAGTTAATTTTTGTCTTCATGGTTGTTGTTTTCTATGTACGTTCTCTAGGGTAAGCCTACTTGTGAGAAGAAGTTGACATTGTACCAATGGAATGAGCTGTTGTCTGTTGATGGATACATTTCGATCCATAAAACGCATATATCAATTCCCAAATGTTATTGTAGTTTAATTAGTAGTTTCAAATTTTAGTTTTGACTACGTTAAATACTTAGAAGGAGATTTTACTTCTGAATTGATCCTACCAGCTCAAACGATATTGTTTCTTGTGATACATGTGGTATATAAAATAGAAAAATAAAATGAAAAAAGAAACCTCTTGCAACCTAACCATTATCACTAATTTGTAATAAGAAAACGATTAAAAAACCTTAATGCTGACACATATGGACCATGTTCAAGCATGGGTCATTCATCTCAAGGCCCGACAAGGCCACCCTCACTAAAGATCATTTCGGTGAATCAATGAATTGGGATTCCTTGTTCTAAGAAAGACGAGAAAAGAAAGCATTTAATTACAATTTCAGGACTCGTTGATTATTGCATTCTCATCAATTCTTGACCACTAGTAAGTTACTAATCAATTAACCGTAGAGTTACTAAACTTGAATGAAATATCTTTGGCGAATGGCATTATCTGGTGTAACTGTAAGGTTAGTAATTAGCAAAGTCCGAAATTGAGTATTCTGAATGCTAAAAATTTATGTATACCATGAGCTCAGTGTCAAGTAATTGAGGTGCATTTACCGAGTATTATACATATATATATATATACATATATATATATATATATAAAATTA